TAATAATAATAATAGTTTATTCAGACAAATTACAAAATATAAACACATAAACATACGATACACATAAAGAAATCACATTATTTCACTATAAAAGACATTAAATCCTAGAGTAAATACAGACAGGAGGAAGAAAAGGACAGCGAAAGGCTGCCTTGGAGAAAGACCAAAAGTGAATTCAAAATACTTTCGTCAAAAGGGCGTGTCTCTCCATACCCTCCACAGCAAGCAACACGAACAAAGATATGACACAGAATACAACATAAAATACATGGGGAGAAATATATCACAGAGATTAAATACATTGAGACAGGACAAACGAATGTAGAAAAAATATAGAGAATTATAAAAAAGAGGATTTAAAATTCAAAATAAGAAGAGATAAACGTTGTGCATAATACTTGTTTATAGCATATCCAGCCAAATTCATAAAAACGTAACATAGTTGGTTCAGAAAAGATGAATGACATCGTGAAAATGTCCAGTAATTAGAGCACTCAGATTCTATACAAGAACCATGCAGGCTGCCGCCTAGTCATACCTGAGGCCGGTAGGCGTTACACGGGACATTGAAGTAACTAACGACAGAGAATGTTGGGATGTCTGTTGGGCGCGATCGTTCGGTCTGCACGAAGTCGATCTCTTCAAACGACTTGTCGATAACCATGCCTTCAGCTTTTCACCTTTTCTTCCTTCAGGGATGTGAAAGATTATTGAAACAAAGGGAAGTAAAGTTGGAGATTCGCTACAGGAAAAGGATCAACAACTTGTTCGGGAGATCGCGCAGATCGGTCCCAACACGTCTTTGTAGTTGATTTGATCTAAAATACTAGAGCGACTTCAAAAAAGAAATATTCCCTTGATATTCCAAGATGTGCATACCTGAGCTAGGTTGAACCAAAATTTCATTGTAAGAGAATGACCGTCTTGCTCTTTTTAGTTTCAATATATGCTCGAGGATTCAGTGTCTCTTTTTGAAACTTTGATTTACATATGCATTTTGAATGATGAAAGCTTTGTTAAGATAATTAAGTACTTTTTCACGTTTCTTTAACTTATTCTAAATAAAACCAAAAATTTTAGATATGCTACATTATTTCAACGAATCAAAAATACCAGCATTGTTTGTATAACTGTGCACCACTTTTCAAGCAAATGTCCCACGCTATAAACACGTTCATAATAGTAGCTAACAGCCCCCTTTGATTTCGTAATTTCCTTTGTCTTTTGTTTGGTCTCGAGATTTTGTTCGAAATGTTTGCACGCTAAGAGGGCTTCCTGAGTTATCTTCGTCTGTAACTGACGTACTGGCCAATCGATGGTACATTGAGCGGTCTCACACGCCATCCCCATACCCAACTTCTTCCTAAAATTCGTCCCTTGTTCCGTCGGCGATGCCCCGTAATTGCCTCGTCCCTTCATCCCCCATCAACGATCTAATAGAGCTAGGAACAAAAGACGTTCTCTCAATTACAAGGGCTTTACTACCGAGAGCACAACTTGCACGGCAGCGTTTCTTTTTGGGCCGAGCTGAGCCAATTAAGGCAAATTGGTTGCTTGGGCTATTAGTGAGTTGCGGGAAGATTTATTAGGCGGCGAAATGGAGAGACGCAGGATGGATGTTGTGTTTTATGCGTCAGTGCGTCCCTTCAGCAAGGACTGGGACAGTTGAATATAGACGCAATTCACCTGTTGTCTCTCTCGTTTATGGGCATGTTGGGGGGGGTGAGGCTACGGATGATAAGACTCGAAGGCCGGGGCGTGGCTGTGGAAGTGATGGGAAACCAACCGCTACGGTCTTTGTCATCCTTACCCAACCTAAGGCATACAATGTTCTTCATGTCAACAATGATTTTACCAGTAGCAGTACATCCATCAATCATATCCCCCAACGCCTCTCACCGCCATCAACCCTCTCAATAGCTAGCATCCGTATTTGATCTCATGTTTGCGAGCTATTCTCTACATTGTCATCCTTGCAAAAATATTTATTTATCTTGTGTCGTGAGTCCTTAAGGTTACAATTACCTTCACTGACAGTGTTTTTCCCGCTTGGTACTCCTATATAAGCGGGTGACATATTTACCGAAGGCAAGTGTACACACTCGGACTGTCAAGGACATGTTCCCTCGGTGACGGTCGGTGATCGAAGATGTCAATAAAGGTCAATGCCGTTATCGTCATCTTTTTGTCACCAATTCACCAGGCCCACCACACCCAATGTCTTCACCCTCCCGATCACTCCAGGCCTGTTAGTTTCACCCTTGCGTCTGGTTCGAGATTTCCTCCTCAGTGGTTGCAGGGGCCACCGGCGTCTTTTGTTTAATGACCGTCCGAGATGCAGGTGTTTTGTCACGTCGTGGGAACAATATCATCGCTGTCGCTCCCGACGTCACGTCCGTCAGTCAAGCCTCGATCCCAAAACAATACCCTCTGGTAATTTCATCTTGTGCTCATCCCACCACAACGTGAACAAAACTGATGCTCGACATTTTTTGTGTCTCCAAATCCAATGAAACACTGAATGATTTATTCTGCCATCCCATTCCGAGCGCCCACAACGTACTAATTAATTGATTACAAATAACAAGTGTCCCACACTGGCTATAGATATATGCACGGTGTGCATTTTGTGGAATCGCACTGTTCGCTTTCGACAAAAGGATCACCGGCCCATGAAGTGGTGCTAAGGGTAGTTTCACGTCGCCTAGCAACGGGATGCCTCTCTTGTGATGCCGTCACACTGCACGCGTAGTGCGTTTGAAACACAAGTAAAGTGAATGATATCGTTAGTTGCATGGTAAATGTAGCCCGCCGTTGTGGGCTAAATTTAAACAGGAGAAAGCAAGTCGTCTGCTTTTGTGGGTTTGGATTAATGTTTGCCGGTGATTTTTTTGTAGTCCTGTTTCAGAATTAATTGTCCTAAGCTCACAGTTGCAAGTCTTCTCGCAATACACTACTTAAACAGAGAATTTCGATGAAAATTTCCAGCCTAGGCTCAACTGTCCCGTAAGACATTTATCGGATGCAAGTCTTTTTAAATCAACCAAGCAATGAAACGAAAACAGTGTCAGCCTGTTTGCAGAGGAGAATAATTGTTATTCGGAAACATGATCGATAAAGGCAGCTCACGGGACTATCAAAACATTTTCCTGTTATCTCCAGATCCATGGCAACTGTTGTCAAAATATATCAGAACGTGTGGGCACACTTTTGTATTGCATTGGTAACCGGCAATGTCTGCGATATCAGCTTGAATATCAAAATGTATACCCAAAGTTCTGATCTTACAGTGGTTTGTTTCAGTGTTGTTTCAATGCAGAATTCTAAGCCTTTCCCCCTACCTTCTCGCCATCTTTTACTGATCTATCTGTTTAGCTTTGTTTCATAGTTTTCTAATTAGTATTAGAATTAATCAATTAAGATATCTTTTGTGTAACTTTTGTGTTTGCTTACTATTCCTTTTCAAAACTTGGGAATTTGAAATAGACACAGTGTTAATCTTCTATTGTTATTCATGTAGCGTTTTGTTCACGTTGTCAGTGGAACCCACCAATTAAAAATATTTAAAAATCCTGTTTAAAAAAATTGTATTTCTGTCCTCCAAGTACGTGAAGACCTATGTAGCTCTCTGTATCCTATGGAACAACGGAATACTTCTATTATCATAAATTACAGCATTAATATTAAGCGCAGGTCGTCGATGGAAGAAGATAGCAAAATCACCATTTCATTTCATATTCTATCTTCTTATTTTCCTCTGCCCTCTTTACAAAAGAATGTTCTAACTCTCGAACATTGCAGATCATGACAAGTCAAGGTGTGTGCGGGATACTGTCAAATTAGGCAAGAGACCCGGTAGCGTTGGCAACGGGCGAAGGAACAATTACCGTACAGCCGGCTCGCTATACCTTTCATGCATCGTATCACTTCCACTCGACCGACCCTTTTGTGGTGGGCAATCTTTTTGGACGAGCGCGCGCGGGATAATAATTCGCTGGCTGCCGGCCAGCAATGAGGTGCGGAGACCCGATACAGGAATGATATTGAAGTCGGTGTGCCGTGTTATGGAAAACATCGTAGCAAAAAGGACTTCCTTGGTCTGAGGGAGATGTCTGAGTCGACGTAGGGTTTATTACACTGAAGGGCTGCTTAATATGAAAATTTAGCTCAAGAGATTGGCAGAAACCCATTCCCAACTGAAAGTATAAGAGGGGAACTATGAAAGGATGATTTTACAACATGCCCCGCCGACGTAGTTTTTGAATTGAAACATTTACCATTGATCTACAATTTGTATTAAAAAATCCTGTGTTCTTAAAAAATCAAGAGCCCTGTATATGGAATAGGGCAATATATGTTTTGACGAGAAAATTAATTAGTAGTCTCAGATTCAACAAAACAGCCAGGATGTTTGGTTAAACAAACCACTATTCGGCATTATTAAAAGAAATTATACTGACGGCATATAAGAGAGGATACTGAAACAATGCGGACATTGTCACAGCGTGACAGTGAAATTTTGCAGCGCCCTCTCTTGACAGGTATCAGGCACGGCTTTCAAGCTGAAGAATTATGTGGTTGCAGGGCTAGGGGCACGTATGCATGGATCAAACGTTTACAAATTGTGGGCGCTTAGGGATATGTTGCCGGGAATCAGTCAAAATATTAACAAAGCATTTGTAAATTGGCTTAATTTAGCGCCTTCAATCGGTAGGAAATGTTGATATTTATAGGGGTCATGGTTCGTCCTAGTAAAACCACCCCCTCCACCCCGCCCCTTCCTCACACAACATGATAGCTCCTTTAACATGTCCCAATTGTTCAAAGCGTTATCTCTGCCTTGAATTTCAACCTCTAATGGAATATAGTCAGACAGGATGTTGGACATTATTAAAGATTTCCTCAACCTGGCTACTTCAGCTGAGACGATTGGTATTCAGGGCTACTCTACGCCAGTACTAATTATTGGACTGTGTGATCATTCTTTGACTTGTTTTCAGGATTCTGACGGGACTATTGTGGACCGTGGATTTAAGCGAGTAGCTGTGGTGGAAGACTTCTTTGATATTATTCATGATGTCCACGTTGGGACAGACGGCCGTAGTGGGAAACATGCCGGTCAGAAACGAACCTACCGGGCGGTGAGTACAGAGAACGTGCAGTCCCTTATGTCCGTTATAAGACGAGATGGATTCCTAGAAGTAACATGGTGAACTAGTTGCACGTCGTGTCTGGTTTTGAACTTTGCGTACTCAGTGTTAACGGTTTTGTCGACAGAACATTGTGTCCTGACTCCACATTTTAAAATCCTAACCGGTGCAAGCATGCTTCTTTGTTTAAACGCTGATTTTATTCGGCAATCAGCTTTTTGAAAGTAGCCCTAATCATTTTACATCGCTTCTAATTGCTGATAATCTGCGAAACTTGTGCTTGCAGTAGCTCTCTCTCATGTGGGATAAGTCTTTACGGTTGCTTGGACAACATCGTGCTCATTAATGAACTGATGGTATGTTTTGCAAGTCCATAACTGCCATGCAAAGTGTTAATAATTGGCAGTTAATGTAGGTATCAGTTTTGATGGTGAGTTGACTCTTGACACCTAGTATTTCGGGTTTAAGTGAATTCATTTTATTCTTGCATGCTGCATCGTTTCTGCATATAAGGCTTCATCACGCTACTTGGTTTCCTTATGCTGGCATTTTCTTGGGAGAAAACCGCAATGATAATCTCCGGAGAATAGAAAAAACTCTCTGTCGTTTCAAAGGAAGAAAACCCTGGATAAACACCGGCTTGGCGCGTCACATGCAATGGAACGGATTTAACTTGTGTTTACCATTAAACTGGTTGAATTGTCTCCAAACCCGACTCAAACATTTGACCCAGTTGGCCATTTAAAAATGGAAAGTGGAAATGAAACTCACCTCGAGCAGATCAGTCAGGGACGCACTTATTACAACAATATGGTTGACAGTGACTGATGTCATCGCTTCCGATGAGACGCCTGTATTTGACAGGGCGCTGTCCCCCAAAAGTAATCACTCCCAAAGTCAGGGGCACTGCCCATTCCGGATATAGCTTTAAGCCGTGGTTTTCCATGCACCCTGATCAACTATCTCAACTATCAATCAGATAGATGACATCAACATTTTGTCTCAATTCTCGACTAGTCAGGCAAGACAGCAAGGGACAAGTTCGATCAAGGACCACTAGTTAATGGTTGGTTCGGGACGTACCTAGCGCATGTGCAGTGAAGTTGAAGTGCGAACAACCCTTGTCAACCGTTGTCTGGTCATTAGGCCGAAGGGGAGAAAAGGCTGCCACAGGAGGGCAAATTAGCCAAAATTTGAGTGAAAATGGTCGTTTACTAGTGATGTACTGTTTTTACAGCATTTCTCTGGCTACAGGTCCTCTCTACACTGTGCTGTTAAAGACGGTTTATGGCAACCAACGATGCAACCAACCTCGATAGGCTGGTCACGAATAGTCGACTAGCCTGTGTTTGATCAGAGTTTGTCGAACTATGGTTACCTATAGTCCTTGATCGAACTTGCCCGAGGGTGGCCATTTTTCTTTTCTTATGCACTAATACTGTTTCAGGCACCGGCCTTAGACTCACATTGAGCTCAGTGGGAGTAAGAAACGTGATATCGTTCTATGAGTCTGGTTCCCCAAAGTAAAACAATATCCAATACGAAGAAACAACTAGTGGATCCAACTGTTGTCTTCGCTAGGACTCTCTCTCACGTATTATGAAATGAAAATAATTCTGGATCCAAGATCTAGGACATTTGGGGTCATTACTCGTGTTTGTCACAGGAAATTCAAACTTCGTGGGGAGAAGGTGGAGCGTCTGGTTCCCAAAGGCAAGAAATTGTCAGAGTAGAAATGATTAGGCCTATGTAATCGTTAACGATTCATCCAACTCCCACTTCATCTTGAGGACTGTGGTTAAACCGACATTTTGTAACATGTCGAGGCTTATGAACTCGACCAGGTATTGCTCACAGACTGCCTGGTAATCTGACATTGTTCCGTTGACGTTGATGCATAGATTTTGTAACCAGATGTGGTGCTTGGCATTTCGTACAGCACTTGATAGCCGATAAAGTGGTAGCTGGGTTGACAGTGTTTCTCCATTTCACGCGACTGCCCAAGAGAAATGGACATTTCGTTTACCGGACACGTCGAAAATAGCAACGTGAACTAAATGTCAAACTTGGTTACATTAACCATGCGTCTTTGCTGCTGTTGATTTTTAGATTGCAGAGACCTACGCGTTCCTGCCTCGCGAAGCCGTCACACGGTTCCTCATGAACTGTACGGAATGCCAGAAGCGCATGCACCTCTCGCCGAATCTCGCGGAGCTCCACGAGAACGGTGACGCAATCGAGGAGGCCAATAGCAATAGCAGCAGCAACAATAATAACAGCAGTAGTGGCGGCCTGGTGGGAGATATCAACATGGATTACAGCCTGCCGATTACCACCACGTACTTGAACCAGTTACGGAACATGAGACTGGCTAACTACAACAATGAGGTAAGGCACTTTCTATTTTCATTTTCAGCTAGTCGTTCAAAGGCTTTGGGAAAACTATACTCCTGATTTAATTCAAAGAGTGTTTACAACCTCGTTCTCTACACATATGCACTTTTTTTTGGAGTTCGTTTCTTTTCAAAAGTGAGGATTGAAGATTAATGAGATTTAAACCAGACTTCATAGATACAGTAGTCTGTAGGGTTTTCTCTTACAGTGTTGCTGTTTAGTTGTGGCAGTCAAACTACTTGAGCCACTCAAATGCCATGGTTTAAATGATCATTTGATTGTAATCACTTCGCGATATACGCGTAGAGTCGACGACCCACGATGTTCGTGAATTCCAGCAACGGCACCAGTCACGTAGCCACCGCCATTTCAAAATACCAGTTTAGCCACACTCCTGCACTAAAGGCCGCTAATCATTAACCCAGTCTTGAAAGACAAATTCGGCTTTTACGAGAACAGCTTTGGTATGGCTGATTTGTACAGTGGCTTCATGCTTTGTAGGCGCAAGGCCTGTCCGGTTAAGTCGTTCTGAAGAAAACACCAGTTTTTATTTACTCGGCCGCTTTAAGATCTGCCTGACAAGCTGGTAACCATTAAGCTTATTTAGCCTCCAGCGCTTTGGCATCGCCTTTCCGTCTGGGCACTAGACTAACATGACCCTAAAGCGATTGAAGTCCGTGTGCGTATGTTCCAAAAGAAAAGTGTCAACGGTATCAAGTACCTTAGAACTTAGATCTCCGATTCCCTGCTGAGCCATGTGAAGTAGCAGGGAATTCAGGTTTGGGAAATAGGTATCAAATATAGAAAATGTGGGGAAAATGCTGAAGGAACTACCTTATTACGTCAACAACCTCTGCACAGTCCATAGCCTCCGTTCCAGGCTCTCTCTTGCCCACCTCTTGAGGATTAGCCATTTGTAACTGTGCAGAGGAAAGGCCGGGTGGTCGCCCGTGCCACGGGAAGAGAGAGGTCTGATTTTTGTTGGTTGATGGATTGGCAGGTGGCACGCCGTACCACAGGATGCTGTCACACCGTTTGTTGTCAGAAAGCCGAGGCTCAAACAGACCTTAAACGGTCAGGACAGCAGCGAGTAGAAGTGACTGACAGCTGACTCTTTGGCGTGTTGTAGCTGGACAACACCGAGGTAGTAGGGACTGCAGACTGCGTCTTTGGTCTGCTTTCACGGTCGCGGTTGTGTGCCGTTCAGATTGACGATATTGAACAATGACTGAAGAAGTTCAAGAAGGCGTTAACAAAATCGTACAACATCCTTGAATACGTGCAACAGTGACCCCACAATACAGAGTGACCTACTTTTGTCTGAAGATGACGCACTTTTCTTGACTCTGATGTGTTCCTCGGGTATGTTTGCATGTTGTTGTGAAAGAATATCTGAAGTGTTTATAAATTACCAAGGACTTCGAAACTGCAAGTTCTCAAGTTACTTCACTTTTCAATCTCGAGGGAAATAAAAACAGGTCAACATGGGAAGACGCTTATTCCTCGCCACTTCAATGGTATCCATAACACTTGGCCATATTTCGAGTGTTTCAGTCCTGATAAGTAACCAACGAAACTCACTGTGGCAACGCGGTCAAACACAAACCAAATGGCGGTTTTATGGGTCACTATTAAACCATAGATGATTAAACCGTTGGCCCATCCGAGTAGAAGGCTTTCGTAACAAAATCATGGAAACCTCTTACAGCGTATAATGGGAGTTGTTAAAATCCAGAGTTTGGATCAATCTAAGGTGGTCATCCCAGTCTCTGCGGAACCTGTACGCCACATTGTTCACCAGGAACCACAAGAAAAGATTTGCCGAATATGCATTTCTTTACTCCTTGGGTGAAAAGGAGCCTTCACGGCTAATGTATCTTGACTGCCTTCACCTCGTTGCAATGGAGAGAGTTAGAGGTACCAAAGCCTTATGCCATGAAATGAAATCATAGATTATCCAGAGTCAAACAAGGTTATGTCAAGTCAGTCTGAAAGGATTATCCATTACGGGGCACCAGATCCCCGCCAAGTCATAGATCGGTTAGGAGAAGCTATGGAACACGTGCTTCTGTTCAAGAATCTTCGGAAGTTAACACTGTCTTCAATCGATTAATTTCCATTAACTTTCCAACTACATTTACAAGGAAAGTCAATTTTTCCCTCTTTTAGGGACGGGTGGATGGCAGAGTACAGTTTTTATCTGCCGTGAAAGCCGCTTCAATCAGTTGGATTCACCAGGAGTGGTCAACGTGTCACGTGACGCAGGAATCGCCATATTACTGGAGACTTTTTTTGTTTTTGAGGTTGACATAATTTTGTCAATTGGTCCTTTTAATAATACATGTAGTGTGGTGCAGTGATTCAAATTCTGTCATTTTTGAAACATTGTTGTTCGTGCATCTCACTGGACATGAAGGGTAGTCATTTTTAGGTTTTTCTTTGAGTTATTTTTTTAATTGACTTATATTTTAATTGAACTTAATCTCGATGGCATACATCATGAAATCGATTTTTCTTGAAATGGCTCTTCAAGCGACCCAAGCTATTAAAGCCCGCTGAAGAGTCAACCAGAAATTTCCTTTGAAGAGGATTTTCATTGAAAACAAAAAGCAAGGCAGGGGGCTACACCGTGGTACTGCAATTGTGCCTCGGCCTTTGTTCAGCCTGTGCGTTAATGATTCGACCGCTGCGCCGGACGTCTGAGGAAGGTCGCTCGTGAGAAGCTTGAATGATAGAAGACAGGAGCGACGGTACGGTAGATAACCGGTCTGTCTGAATGGACACCAGCCCCCCTTGAGATATCTGCTTGCCAGGACTCCAGCAGACAGATGAGGAAAATTAGGATACAGAGGGGATGCCTCTTAACTCAAGGCCGAGTGCTGCCTGTGCCTTCAACCTTTGATTACACGGAGAGTTTTTAAGGGTCCTGTGAAGGATGGGGACATTGACGTGATGGAAGAAATCAGATTAGGGGTTGGAGTGGATAGAGAAAAGTAGTTCGACAGGGAGACTGGATTGATTTGGAAAAGTATATAGCATCCAGTAAGGCCCGAGATTTAATCATACAGGGCCTTGCTTTGTGCAGAATACATTGGATAGAACAGTTTGGTTGAAGAGAGAGGAAAGCAGGAGCGACACGAGTACAAAAGATTTCCATGTGACCGTGAGTGGCTAAAATACTCCGAAGAACATGTTCCTATGCACTTGCACATACATATAGCACTTTAACGAAATATTTTACGTACAATATTATGTCCATTTTAGTAAGGTGAAGAGTGTGGCATTTGTGCATGCACATGCCGATTCGAACTTGGAATCACTTCGCTTGGGGCGCTGGTTGGGCAGTCACAGCTTAGAAAGTGCTGGTGGACAAAGGACGTTTGTCTTGGTTTTATTTCGAGGTAAAAATCTGTCACGAGAAGACACCCTTCATTTTGTGCCTGTAGACGTTTTCACCACAGAGGGCGCTGTTAAACAGCGACACAGTTGCCGTGTCCACTTGTTAACGCACCTCGTTGATCGGTGATCGTTGATTGGTTCAAACGATTGCTTGAATACCCTTCCTGCGAATTAGTCACAGTGAAAATTTCTTCTCAGGACCAACAATTTTATTTTCGTCCGTTCTGTTCCCCCCTCTGAGACGAACTCACCTCAAACTAAATGGCTGTGGAGCCCACGTGTTTCCTCTTTGGCCCGGGTGGATTACTGATAATTTTTTCCGAAATAGCACACACTTACACATGTATGAGGTGACTTTCCAGTGTCTCTCCGGAAACAACAGTGGCTAAGTCTGTGTCACTCAGGACCCTAGACAAAATATTCGGAAGCAGTTTCAGGAAATCTACTGCTGTTGCATGTGATAAAGGTGTGGATTTTTATTCATTCTTATCTTTCCCGTGTACTTTAACACTTCAAATACTACGAAGACGGATACTTTTGATAAGTGGCATGTAGACGATTGGAAAATGGTGGACTTCTTTCACCTGTCTGCTATGCTGCCACCTAGAGGCAGAGCTATCTCTTTCCAGTTCCTTTCCTGTTGCAGATGAATGCATATGGATGATAAGTCTTAAACTTCACGTGACCCGCTGCCAGAGGTAATTAAAATCACAATTAGCTCGAATAGTACGATACCGATCGACATGTCCTGGTGAGTACTTTCGACGCATGTCTCCGTCGACGGGCACGAGCATTATACATAACATGGGTATCGATTCTCAGGGTCTCGACTCTCGACTAAGGGAGTCACTGAATTCCCGTTAGCACCGTCGAGGATATCCGTCGTTGAGCGGGTCGGGGTAGGTTAGCCGAGGGCTCTCCTCCCTTCTTTCTCCCATCAATCGGTCTGGGGTTTTCCGCTACTGATCACCAATGACATTCCATTTCCTCCCATATTTTTCAGATTTTGACGGAGATCCTTATTCACTACTAGCCACAGACTTACCAAGACGTCTCCACAGTTTCCCGTAAACAGTAAACATCTGTTCTCGTGAGCTGCCTGTCAGACGAATATCGGTCATTGCGTTTACTGCCCAAATTGGAACCATTCTGCCCAGCTCAAAATGTTGGATTGCACGTTGTCTTTAAAGCATGACATGTGAAATTTTCTGAAAAATGTTCCAACAGAGGAAAGACGCGGACATCTCTAGAGATCTCTAGAGATTTCTAGAGAACTTTAAATTCCTAGGCGTGGCCTAAAATCGTTTAGGGCACTTGTAACTAAGCCAACGTCGTAAATATTGAAAGGTGATTTTGCTAAAACGGGCATAACTCGATTGTTCCTCTTTAACGGTTCGCCTTTAAGATGTACTTTGATTATACCGAAGTCTGGGTGCCAATGATGCCTGTAAAGTCTAGTTTCAGGCTCTTTTACGTTGTCAGATAATACCAATAGTCGATTCGTGTATGTAGTCATCGATCCACTTCTAATAATCTTCCGGAATAGGGCCTCTGTTTTTTGCGGATACCGGGGCCACTCTATGAAAACTTTCAGG